TAACAAATGTACAGGCACTCCAAGTAAATCAAAGACGTATTATAAACCTTTAAAAGCCACCTCAAGTATGTAATTCTTACTAGTTGATTAGAGCTATTTTTAGCGCTGTCAAATTGCATCCAATGATGTCGCGCTTCAGTGCACAGGCTATAAACAAAACGGTGACATTTTTTTTGAGTGTGATTTGAACATATGTAGGATTTGATAGGTAATTAGGGGTGGATTTATGGTAATTATTATTGCATAGCTGAAAATCCCACATGGCAAATTGACTCTTGTGCAGATTTTATCACGTGTCAAATTTGTGCATTTCCTGATTTTCACGAGTCAAAACCCGGGTCCCTGTGTCAATCGAGAGCCCTGTAAGAATAAAGCAATAACCTTTGTCTATCAGTATTGATATGCAACCTTTTTTATTGTTCTTTCGTTCTACTTTTTGGGATGTTGATCATAGCCCATCTGTGATAACATTAAGTATTATGAAGGAATGAAAATCTCTATGTTACCTTCCAGCATAATTAAGTTTGGTAACAAAATCATACATGCAGTTGGAAGTGTTAATAGGTCTTGTAAAATATGTCCTAAATATTACTGACTTCAATAAATATAATTTATTTTGTCCCTTTATAACTATATAAAAAAAATCAGGGACTTCCAACTTGGGGAAGGGACTTTTGAATTCAAAAACAGATGTCCCGTTGGGATTCCTGGCTGAAAAGTTAGTGTCAACCCCTGATAAAGGGAATGGCAAAAAATTAATAATTTTTGTAAGGTGCCATGCAAAATACTAGCTGCTAGTGCACCAAGACCATGCCCTCATTATTCCAAATAAGCGATAAATTTACTTTTAGATTTTTAGCTCGACTTTTCTATGAAAAGGGGAGCTATCCTACTCGCCCCGGCGTCGGCGTCGGCGTCACACCTTGGTTAAGTTTTTCGTACCACCCCACTTTATTTCAGAAGTATTACAAGTATGGCTTTGAAACTTACCATACTTGTTCACCATCATAACCTCCATCTACAGACAAGAGTACATAACTCTGTCAAGGTTTTTGACAGAATTATGGCCCTTTTTTGACTTAGAAAGTGTATTGAGCTTGGTTAAGTTTTTTTGTACCACCTCACTTTATTTCAAAACCATTGGAGGTATTGCTTTGAAACTGACCATACTTGTTTACCATCACGACCTTCATCAACAGACAAGAGGACATAACTCTGTCAAGGTTTTTGACAGAATTATGCCCTTTTTGACTTAGAAAATACATTGAATATGGGTAAAATCCACTTATTGCCTTAACCCTTTGAGATATTGCTTTGAAACTTTTAATGCTATTTCACATCATTACCCCCATCTGTACGCAAGAGAAGGTAACTCTGTCAAGGATTTGTTTTAAAAATTAAGGCCTTTTATCGACTTAGAATCTTGGTTAAGTTTTTAGTACCAGTCCACTTTTTGACTGAACTGTTTGAGATATTAATTTTTTTTCTTTCTTACCAGCCCTCTTTTGACTTAAACATTTCAAACTTTGCTGCAGTGTTCAAGGATATCACACAATTCAGTAAAATAATTCTTCACTAAATATCTTAATGCTCATGGCCATTGTTCACTTTAAAAATACAGAGATTCTTGTATTGCCTTTTACTGCAAAAACTTTTTTTATTGGCAAGCAATAAAAAAGTCGAGCGCGCTGTCTTACGGACAGCTCTTCTTGTTATTTAATATAAGATATAAGTTAACAATAAAACCTAGGCTTACAATGGACTATTATATAATCTGTAAATAGCTTTGAATGCCTTTCCTTGATTGGCTTAGAAGCAACTTTTTGTTAAAAATACAGGTCAATATCAGAGAATTTTCACTGTTTTTAGCTCACCTGACCACGAAGTGGTCAAGGTTAGGGGTGTCATCGATTCAATCGATATCGGTGTATCAACGATTTTTGTTATCCGATTCGATATCGATTCCATTTTTTAAATATCGGATATCAAATGCACATATATTTCTAGCTAAAGAGACTTCAGCGAACAGGTTTTATAGAACTGACAGACCTGTTTACTGTCGCAAAACGTCAAAGTAAAAGCGACATATAAAGTTATGGATGCCAGAAACATTTTTTTTCTAAAATGAAAACGGAAATCAATGCCAAAGTTACCTCCCAGTGTCTCCAACAAATGCTGCCTAAATTCATTGTAATCTCGCACATCTGCTAAGTGGATGTCAAGACCCCTCAATTCAGATTTTAAAAAGGGAAAATGCCAAGAAAAATTTGACAGTGTTTCTTTGTACAAAATGTTAAACTTTAATAATTATTCAGGTTCTAAACACTATAATTTGCCAATTAAACCCGGCTTAATTGGAACGGCAAGGACGGGATTTAGCATGATCAGTAACTACGTAATAGCAACAACAACAACTAAAGTAAAATGGAAAAGGCTTTAAACTTTATAGTTACTAGTCATTAGTTTTCATTTATAGCTAAATGATAAAAAAAAGAAACAAATTGTTCAGTTTTCATAGTTTATCTTTTTTGCATTTGTCTATATATAACTGCTTTGTCAGTGTCCTTAGGAAACATTTAAAAAGACTTGAAAGCTAAAATTTAGCCTGGCAATCGATATATCGCTGTATCGCCGATAATTCATTACCGATATATCGATAAAAAAAAACCCCTTATCAATGACCCATAAGGTAAATGAGGGGCATGTCTGGCGTCAGAGTAGTTCGTCGTAAAAAATTTGGGGTTTTTGGCCCTAGTTTGTTTGGGATCATTGTCAAATTTAGCAGTCCAGTTTTGTTTGGGATCTTTGTCAAAATGTTTTCTCAATAAAATACAGATTGAGTTCGAAGATGGGTTATCTCGAGTCAAAAACTAGGTCACAGGAGATAAAAATAGAAAAAGCTTGTTAGCACTCCAGTGGCTGCAGTTTTGATCCAGATATTCTGGAAATTTGTCAGGAAGAATGTTTTGATGATTTCTAGGTCAAGTTCAAAGATGGGTCATCTCGGGTCAAAAACTAGGTCACAGGAGCTAAAAATAGAAAAAGCTTGTTAATACTCTAGTGGCTGCAGTTTTGATCCAGATATTCTGGAAATTTGTCAGGAAAGTTGTTTTGATGATTTCTAGGTCAAGTTCAAAGATGGGTCATCTCAGGTCAAAAACTAGGTCACAGGAGCTAAAAATAGAAAAAGCTTGTTAACACTCTAGTGGCTGCAGTTTTGATCCAAATATTCTGGAAATTTGTCAGGAAGGTTGTTTTGATGATTTCTAGGTCAAGTTCAAAGATGGGTCATCTCCGGTCAAAAACTAGGTCACAGGAGCTAAAAATAGAAAAAGCTTGTTAACACTCTAGTGGCTGCAGTTTTGATCCAGATATTCTGGAAATTTGTCAGGAAAGTTGTTTTGATGATTTCTAGGTCAAGTTCAAAGATGGGTCATCTCAGGTCAAAAACTAGGTCACAGGAGCTAAAAATAGAAAAAGCTTGTTACCACTCTAGTGGCTGCAGTTTTGATCCAAATATTCTGGAAATTTGTCAGGAAGGTTGTTTTGATAATTTCTAGGTCAAGTTCGAAGATGGGTTATCTCCGGTCAAAAACTAGGTCACAGGAGCTAAAAATAGAAAAGGCTTGTTAACACTCTAGTAGCTGCAGTTTTGATACAAATATTCTGGAAATTTGTCAGGAAGGTTGTTTTGATGATTTCTAGGTCAATTTCGAAGATGGATCATCTACGGTCAAAAACTAGGTCACAGGAGCTAAAAATAGAAAAAGCTTGTTAACACTCTAGTGGCTGCAGTTTTGATCCAAATATTCTGGAAATTTGTCAGGAAGGTTGTTTTGATGATTTCTAGGTCAAGTTCGAAGATGGGTCATCTCCAGTCAAAAACTAGGTCACAGGATCTAAAAATAGAAAAAGCTTGTTAACACTCTAGTGGCTGCAGTTTTGATCCAAATATTCTGGAAATTTGTCAGGAAGGTTGTTTTGATGATTTCTAGGTCAAGTTCGAAGATGGGTCATCTCTGGTCAAAAACTAGGTCACAGGAGCTAAAAATAGAAAAAGCTTGTTAACACTCTAATGGCTGCAGTTTTGATCCAAATATTCTGGAAATTTGTCAGGAAGGTTGTTTTGATGATTTCTAGGTCAAGTTCGAAGATGGGTCATCTCCAGTCAAAAACTAGGTCACAGGAGCTAAAAATAGAAAAAGCTTGTTAACACTCTAGTGGCTGCAGTTTTGATCCAAATATTCTGGAAATTTGTCAGGAAGGTTGTTTTGATGATTTCTAGGTCAAGTTCGAAGATGGGTCATCTCTGGTCAAAAACTAGGTCACAGGAGCTAAAAATAGAAAAATCTTTTTAACACTCTAGTGGCTGCACTTTTAATCCAAATATCCTGGAAATTTGTCAGGAAGGTTGTTTTGATGATTTCTAGGTCAAGTTTGAATATGGGTCGTCTCCATTCAAAAATTAGGTCACATTGCCGAAATATGGAAAACCTTTTTAACACACTAGAGGTCACATTTTTGACTAAATTGTCATCAAACTTGGCGAGGATGCTTGTCTAAGACATTGCTTGGATGCGGTTGATGGGTCAGGGGAGCGATCCAGGGCCATCATGGCCCTCTTGTTTCTTCTAAAAATAGATTTTCAGTGTATATTCACCGTTTTTTTCCCTGGAAATCCCCCAAAAGACGCGAGCCTATGACATGACGTCACGCCAAGTTTATTGTTATAATTTAGAGAAAAATGTTGGGCAATTCGCCAAAAAAAGTCAAATTAATCTATTTCAGTTACGGTCTTAACTTTTTTAAAGAAAATAACGAATTTAGCTTTTAAAATACAGAGTCTATTAACAAAAATAAAAATAAAATGTTTATAACATTAATTAAGAAACTTTATAGCATCAGCAAATGATTCTTTCTTGGGTTTTACAGTGGAATTATGGAATTATTTAATCAGCACATAATAAAATATTAAAACATAAAAACACTTTCTATTTTAGAAATTGGGTTACCTATGCATTTTGAAGCTCTGTTGAAAAGTGGTGAATGGCAAAGTTTGAAATCACAACCGAAAGTCACCATGAGGGCAATGGCTGCAGAAAAACGGTATAATTTTTTTATTTTTAAACCTTACATCATTGTACATATATATACACTTAACAAATCTTATAAGTGTGCACCATTTATGTCCTTATAACTTTTTCGTTTATCAATATATTTCTACAAAATTTTGCGTACTGACTATTGGCTGCATTTTCACACTTTTCCCGTGTTCAGGCATGTCAATTTTAATTATGAGGTGCGTTCAACCATGAAGGAACTTAATTCGCAAAATGCACGAAAAATTGTCAGAATGGGTAAAATAAAATTGCACATGATATTCTCGGATACGATAGAGATCGACACATCAGAAAAACACCACATGGGTAGATTATCTATACAACAGCATGACATAGCCCGGGCATTGGTCAACGCTGGAGTACACCAAACAGAGGTTGGTAACAAAATTTATTTGTTTAAATGATTATTTTAATTTCTTTGCATTGTAAAAGGCCGAATATCATTTAAATTCAGTTTCTACCTAAGACAAACATAAATGCATATATTTTTTATTTACTTATTACATGTATGTATCATTTGAAGGTTGGTGCCTCGCATGGTTGTACACCGAAATATTTCCAAAGGCTAATCATTAAGTACAGAGCAACTGGCATCGTTGGTAACCTTCCTCACCGACACCAAAATTATCTACAACGATATGCAACATCGATGTGACGACACTGCCAGGCTGTAATACACTGTCAGGATGGGCATACACGGTATTAGGACATCATTTTGCAACATCAACTTTTGACATGCATTCACATATTTTAGAAATACATCTTAAATTTGTATCTTGAATGGAATTAAAATTGATAAAAATGATACTGTGTCTCTTTTCTGTATTTATTCAAAATTTCAGCATGATCGGGCAAATATTGATACACATATGAAACCATTTATACATGCACACTTATAAGATTTGTTAAGTGTATATATATCGTAAATATAGGAGTGAGCTTATTAGTCAGTTGTTTTTGGCTCACCTGTAATTGCTGTCAAATATGATAAGAGCGATTCCTGGTGTAAGCTTTTTAAACTTGCTGATTAAATAGTGGCAGGGGTCGTGAATTTATGCTTAAAAAAAGCGATGTTTACATATGCGAATTAAAGGGCAATATGTCCGTTGCATCTGCATATCATGTCACTTAAATGTGTTAATTGCTGTCAATTATCGGCAGTTACTGTGTGCAGGCTGTCCAGCGTCCCTAAAATTCCTAAAAAAATCCTTTTTTTTTTAGTTTGGCTAAAATTCCTAAAAAAATGAAAAATTCAAAATGCCCTATTTTTCACTTAAATTTCTTTTTTTTTTATGTTTTGTTATAAACATATCCCGAAACAACCATTTTTCAATCACAACCTTAAAGTTACATTTAATAAATTTCATAAAAACAGAAATAGCAACACTTCATTAATAAATTGGGTTTCACATCGACTTCAGATCTTATTTTGGTGTTTAGACAACCAAAATGACTTTTATAAGCAATCTGCAACCTCCTTGTGGCGAAATCGAAAGTACAATTTCTATTTGTATATTGGAAACTCCGCCTCCGGATCATCCGTACATCAATATTAAATCAACAAACATGACTATAAGTAGCAGTCCTGATTTAACAGTATATTTCCGCATTGTACAGATGTTTTCATACAAATTTCTTTTTAATTAGATGATTACTTTTTCTGAACCCAAGGCTTAGTGCACAGTGAAATTAAAACGGTTAAAGTGGGTTTGCACAAGAAAATCTCAATTTGCTGTGTTTGTTATGCAACTTAAACACTGTGGCGTAGCTCATACACGAGCTGATTATAGTCTTCATTTGCATGTTAAAATTCGTATACGAACTTTAGTGTTACCATGGGGTTTTACGTTAAAAACGTGATTTATGAACAATATTTGATGAGATTTACAACAATTCTGTTAAAAAGATTAATGAAACTGTAGATTGCTTGTTTTTTAGGTCCATGGCAAAATATTTTTACATATTTATTTTTAATGTTACTTCAAACCAATCATTGGTGCTGATGTCTGACTAAAGTGCATAAAGTCACATGTTGTATTACTTCAACCCCTGCAGAAATGCCATACTTGATTAATTGTCAGATGTTATTAGAAAAACAATATGAAACCGTTGTTTTAAATGGAAAAATAAAAATTGTCCCACTTTGACTATATCAAAATAGTCACTTGTTTAAAGTAGAGGTAAAAATATTTCCAAGCAAGTTAAATTTTTTAATGGCTACAGAGTTTTACCACTTACCTCAGTCTTAGGTGTATTTAATCAAATATTTATATGATTTACCACTAAATATTCATCAGACTTTATGTAGGGGTCCTTATTAATAAAATCTGAATTTGTAATCAAGTTATTTTCAAGTGGTGACTGTAGAATGGATCTTTTGTAAGAGATACCAGTGTAAGTGTAGTGTAAGTTTTTTAATGGCAGGAAAAACTGAAAATTGTTGAATAGACTGACTCTGTTGTGAAATTTTCTACAATTTTTAGTAGCCCTGACATATCTTGAACAAATTTTCAGTGGTGTTTGAATTTAGGTTAAAATATTCCTGGGAATGACCTGAATGGGTCATATTGTTTTTCAAAGAAAGATCAAGACTTGTTAAAAAAAACGTACCAACCTTAATATGAACAAGTGTTGATAAATGCATTTATAGCTAAAATAAAGTTTAAGCATAATTTCCCCTTCCATTTATTATTGGCTAATAACAGCTAAACTAATTGAATATTGGTTGTTCCGGGATGCTTATAACTTTGAAAATGTTTTCATTCTAGTTATGTTTTTATGTAGTTTTTCAGCTCTTATTCAGAGTAGACAGTTAAAGGCAGTTGACCAGTAAATCCATTTATGCACTTGTGACTGTGGTACACTGGTTGACACCTTTGCTATACCGGTAACTGATCTAGAGCATTATTTGTGAGTTTCTTTTGTGTCAAATATGTAAAGTTGAACCCATATCATGGTCTTTTGGGGGCCATAATTAAGTTATAAAATTCCAAATTTTAGCCCTAGAATTTCTTTTCCTTACCCTAAAATTCCTAATTTTAGCCCTAAAATTTCTTGAATTTTGCCCTAAAATTTGCCATAATTTTTTGTCAGAGGGTGCTGGAGAGCCTGTGTGTGTTGCCAATTCAGTTTGATTTACGCCTGGAGGCGAGGATTAATTTTATTGGCATGCGCTGTGTACATGCGGCAAGTAAAAAAGCGTGGCGAAGTTGATTTCACTTTGGTGTTTAAACCCGGCAAGTTCAGAACATTTAGGCTCAGTCGCCCAAATCTCCCAGTTGTGAAGGCCCTGTGTCTATAGTAAAAACTTTAAAAAAAATCTTCTTTTAAATAAACCATAGAGCTAGAGCTTAGATATTAAGACAATGAAATAATCTTCTAGGTAACTGTCCTACCAAATTGTACAAAGTTGGGCCTCCGTTAAAGACAATCTTCCTCTTAAAAAAACCCAAAGAGAAAATGGAGCTTAGGATATGAGCATTTGAAACATCTTCTATAATGGGTGGTCATACAAATGTTTGTTCTAAATAAAAAGCCCGTAACGGTCCAAAATTAGCTGCCGGCTCCCAGGATGGTCCATTGATTTTTTCCTTATATATACATATATATATTATAGTAAAGAACTTAAAAGAATCTTCCTTGTGAAAAATCCAAAAGAGCTAGAGGTTACATATTTTGCATAAAACATCTTCTAGTGGATGTCAACCAAGTTTGTTCAAATGAAAGCCCTAGGATCAAAATTGGCCTGGCCCCAGGTGTCATTGATTTTCCTTATATGTATATAGTAAAAACTTTAAAAATCCAAAAGAGGTAGAGCTTAGATATTCAGCATGAAACATGTTCTAATGAATGTCTACCATGTTTGTTGAAATAAAACCCCTAGGGTCAAAATTGGCCCCATCCCAGGAGGTCATTGATTTTCCTTATATGTACTGTAAATCCTGTATTTTTCGCTATTTCTTCGGGTGAAAGGGTATCTACTTAAACCTTTTGACTTATTTCTCAGGTGAGCAATCCAATGGGCCCTCTTGTTGTGGTTTCCAGTTGATAATTGTGTAAAATGTCCAGCCTTCACAGGTCAAACTACTGGTAGGATTTCAACCAAACTTTACAGGACATAGTTGTGCACATCACTGGCATGTTCTGCTTCCCTGCACAAAATGGCCCCCAGAGCTAAAAATAGAAAATTCTTGTCCGGCTTTCACAGGTCAAACTACTGGTGGAATTTCAACCAAACTTTACTCAAGTGATCTGTACTATCCCTAGTTGTGCATATCACAGGCACATTCCACTTGGCTGCACAAAATGGCCGCCAGGCCTAAAAATAAGAAAAATCTTGTCCTGCCTTGGGCGATAAGTTTTCCTTATATGTATATAGAAAAATCTACTTCTCTGAATTTACAAATGCTAGAGGTTAGAAATTTGGCATGAGACATTGTCAACCACTAAGGAGATTGTTAAAATTATAGCCATGCGCTCAAAATTTTGCCTTGCCCAAGGGGACAGTGACTTACTTTCTTGTCCTTTGATGTACAGCCATGCAATTTGGACCATTTCTAAAATTTAACTTTGATATCAGGTGACCTAGATTTTGATGATGTGACCTTCTTTCTTGTCCTTTGATGTACAGCTTTGAAATTTGAACCATGTCCATTTGAACATTAAGATGTAAATTAAACTTGGATATCAGCTGACCTAGATTTTGACAAAGTGTCTTACTGTGTTGTCCTTTGATGTACAGTCATGAAATTTTTGCCATGTGAAATATGACCTTCACCACCAAATTCACTAGACCCAACTGCATTGATAGATCCCTGCTCTGACCTTTTATTAGCTCACCTGTCACAAAATGACATGGTGAGCTTTTGTGATCGCTTTTTTGTCCGGCGTCCGTCCGTCCGTAAACTTTAACTTTAAACAACATCTCCTCATAAACCATTAAGCCAATTTCATCCAAACTTCACAGGAATGTTCCTTTCGTAGTCAACTTTAAAAATTGTTCAAAGAATTTAATTCCAAGCAGAATTCTGGTTGCCATGGCAACCGAAAGAAAAAACTTAAAATATCTTCTTTTAGAAATCGTAAGAGCTAGAGCTTAAATATTTGGCATGAAACATCATCTAGTCAGTGTCTCGTCACTGTCTACTAAGTTTGTTCAAATAAATGCCCTGGGGTCAAAATTGGCCACGCCTGGGGGGGGGGGGGCTCATTGATTTTCCTTATTTGTATATAGTAAAAACTTAAAAAATCTCCTTTTAAAAAAACCCAAATAGCTAGAGCTTAGCTATTAAGCATGAAACATCTTCTAATCTTCTAGTGGTTGTCTACCAAGTTTGTTCAAATAAAAGTCCTGGGGTCAAAATTGGCCCCACCCCAGGGGGTCATTGTTTTTCCCTTTATGTATATAGTAAAAACTTAAAAAATCTTTTTAGAGCTAGAGTTTAGATATTTATTATGAAACATCTTCAAATGGGTGTCAACCGAGTTTGTTCAAATAAAAGCCTCTGGGTTAAAATTGGCCGTGCCCCGGGGGCCTATATACAGGTGAGCGATTTCAGGGCCATCATGGCCCTCTTATTTGAATAGCTATAGATTTAACCACAAACATTGACATATGCTCTTTTGTTAACAAATAGGTGGTGGTGAAATGGTTACTGATAATAACAATTAGATAGGTCAGGGATCCATGCATTATGGCAATGTTAACAAAAAATAATTCTGTTCCTACACTACTATTTAGTGTTGTATTAATGCTGTGGCATAGCAGTTGTCACAAATGCAATCTTGTTTGGTCACACAATTTAAGGTCTAATGTAATACATGTATAACAAATTTGCTGTCATTGAGGAGGCCTACATGATTCATAAAATTTTATGCATTTATTATTTGGTAAGATTTGTGATAAAATTTCATAAAATTGCTGCACACAACCTTTAACAGCATTGCTGCCACAATGACTTAGTCACTAGTCATGAGCAGTAGATAACCCCTATTGATATGTTGGTCATTAGGTCAAAAGTCAGTCACAATAACCTGACCACATGACTAATTAGCTGCCGATAGGGGGCATACATGTTTTACAAACATATCTTGTTGTATTAATGTATTATATGTTAAGTTTCAATATATTATAGGCGACAGAAGATATTGAATGCCCAGATAAAGGAGCAGGCAAGAAAGAATAATCGCAAGAAGTTTAACAAGACTGCTGCAGCTGTTCTTTTAACATCAGCCAGTAAGTTTATGTATATTTTTGGTTCAACTGAGCACAAATCCATGCATATTGCGTTATGTTTTTAATGGCGTCTAACTTTTTGCCCCGGGGCATATAGTAATTAAACCTTCCGTCTGTCCGTACAAGGTTGGATTTTTCTTAAGTACTACCTATGCCAATGGCTTACTTTACACACTTATCAACACAAGTTGACCATGATTTGGACAATTTACATAGCTATGGCTTCTATTCTACCAAGTTGTTGCCTTTTTCAGCACTGAGAAAATGAATTGTTGGTAAACCTAAAACGGCAAGTTGGATACAGGGATCATTCTGGCCTGTAGTTATCATGAGAGAATTTCTCTCCTTTGGCCAAATTTAGTGAGAGCATTCAGATTTTCTTGAGAGGTCTAAAATGCTCAAGTTCAAGAATTGCTTAGTAACATTCAATAACAATGAAATTTTATAACTAAATACACATCAGTTAACCAATTACCTCATAATATACCCGTTTTGATGCATTCCCCCCCCCCCCCCCCCTTTTTTGAGGCCTCGAATAATGAAAAAAATGCCCTATTTTGGCCCCAAAACACTTATTTTCGAGAGTTTTGATCACTTTTTCGGCACCGCCTCCATCAAAAAGATACACCAGGGGGGTTCATGGGGGGGAGGTTGGTGCATCCCCCCTATGCCTTTTGAAGGAGGCAGCAGCCCCCCTCATTGCCAAGAAAATTTTGGACTTGTTAGAGGCTAAAAATGGCCTAAAAAGATTCAAATTTAAGGTTTGACTCTATTTTAAAACAATTTTTTGGTTTTCCCTTGTTGCATGGTAAAGGAAATTTAGATTGAGGCGGGTTCAGGTATGATCGGCCTTTGTCCGTTTGGAAAAAATTATTAAATTTTTGTATTGACCAAAAATTCAAGGGAAAAAAGGGTGTTGGGGTAATGGGCACCGGCCGTTACCCCCAAATGAAAAAAGCTTTTTAAACTTGGTAATTTTTGATTTCTTATCAAATTTGTCAAATGTTTGTCTATAAATTTAATTTTCAAAAATGGGATCTCGAAAAAACTAGGTCCAGGAGTAAAAATAGAAACTTGTTAACCAAGGGCTCGTTTTACCCAAAATTTCGGGAAAATGGTTGGGAAAGGGGTTTTTGTTTTTGGTCAATTTTTAATATGGAACCGTCAAAACTGGTAAACAGGGCAAAAATGAAAAATTTTTAAAACCCCAACTAGGGTCACTTTTTTACTCAATTGTCATCAAAATTGGTCAGGAGTTGTCTAAGACTTCTCGATTGGGGTTTATGGGGCAAAGGAGGATCTAGGGCCATCTTGGTCTCTTTTTTATAGTTAAGACAATTTGAACTTGTAAGAAAGCTTTTCATTGAAAACAGGCATTTTTTATAAATGCTAATAGGGGAAAGGGGCAATAGTCAGTATAAAGTTTGTTGTTTTAACTTTAGCATTAAAGCCTCTTTGGGGGGAAAGTCGCAAATGACCCATACTGTTGGGGTGTGGACTAAAACCCAAAAAACAAGTTCACTGCTGCTTTGCCAACATTTTTCTGAAATTTATTTCCCCCCCAAAGAAGTTTTTGGAAGGGTTTTTATAGAATCCTTGGGTCGGTATTTTTTGGTCAGTCGGGCCTGCGGTCCCTTGAATTTTCCTGTCCGGATAAATTTTAGATTCAATCAAATCCATAAAAGGTCAAGGAAAAAATTTTAGAGGAAGTGAGTGCACAAGAGAAGAACCATAACCATCTTTATAATTACAGAGTTATTGGTTTGTTATTTTTCCTTTTTCGGAGCATAACTTTTAAACTACTGGTTTTAATTCAAAAAATTTAAAAAGGGCAACAAAATAGGGGGAAATGAGTACACAAGACCTAACTCTGTTCTAAAAGTAATTACAGAGTTATTGCCCTTTGTTTTTTTTTCATTGCTTTCTTTTGTACGGCCATTACTTGAAGACTAATGTTGGAATTCAGAACATCTTCATGCAATGGTCAAGCACATTGAGAGGTAGCTGCAGTGCACCAGAACATAAGGTCCATCTTCACTAAATACAGAGTTATTATACCCCAAAAAACGAAGTTGGGGGTATATAGGACGTCACCGGTCTGTCCAGACGTCCGTTGCATTTTCCTTGTCCGGAGCATAACTTGAAGGACTAATGATGGAATCAATATAACTACACACAATGGTCAAGCACATTGAGAGGAAGTGCAGTGCAACAAGAACCATAAATCTATCTTTTTACTAATTACAGAGTTTTATTGCCTTTGTTACTTTTCCTTGTCCGGGGATAACTTGAAAAACTACTAGTTGGAATTTCAAAACAACTTCATACAATTGTCAAAACACAATAAGGAGAAGTGCAGTGCAAAAGAACCCTTCATCTAAAGTAATAAAGAGTATTGCCCTTTGTTTTCTTTTCCATTTTTCTTTTTTTCTGGATATAACTTTAAACTAATAGTTGGAATTCAATATAACAAATACAATGGTCAAAACACTTTAAGGGAAATGCAGGTCACAGAACCATAACCTTTTCTTACTAATTTTCAGAGTTATTGCCCTTTGTTTCTTTTCCTTTTCGGGGGGTAATGAAAACTATGTTGGAATTTAAAACAAATTCATACAATTGCAAACACGAAAAGGGGGAAATGCAGGCACAAAAAACCCCTAACCCATCTAAAGTAATTACAGGTTTTTGCCCTTTGTTATTTTTTATTGCTTTTTTTGTCCCACCTTTAACTTAAAATTATTGTTGGGAATTTATTTTAACTTAATACAAGGCAAGCACATTGAAGGGGAAATGCAGTGCAAAGAACCAAATCCCTCTTTACTTTTTAAAAGTTCTGCCCTTTTTTATTTTCCCTTTTCCAGAATGACTTTAAAAAAATGGTTGGAATTTAAAACAACTTCATACAATGGCAAGCACAAAAAAGGGGGTTGCAGTGCACAAGAACAAAAATCCCCTCTTGACTAATTATAAGAGTTATTGACCCTTTTTTCTTTTTTATTGTTTTTTTTTTTCGGAGAAAAATTGAAGATTAAAGTTGGAATTTAAAATAACTTCTCAATGGTTTACACATTGAGAGGAATGCATCCCAAGAACATAATCCCTCTTGATAATTTTAGAGTTTTGCCCCCTTGGGGGATTTTTTCCCTTTTCCAGGCATAATTTAAAAATACTGTTTTTAAATTTAGTCAACTTCAAAACAGTTGTAAAGGACATTAAAAAGGGAAATGCAGTGCACAAAAGCCCTTCTCCATTTTTACAAAATCAGAGTTACTGCCTTTGTACTTTTCTTTCCCGAGCATAATTTTAAAAAGTCTGGTTGGAATTTTAAAAAACTTTACAATGGTAAGCAAAATAAGAGGAAGTGCAGTGCACAAGACCTTAATCCATTTCAAAATTTATAGAGTTATTGCCTTTTTTCCCTTTTTCCTTGTCTTTCTGGGCTTTTTACAGAGTAATTCAATAAAAATTCAAACAATGGGCCCAAAACATTGAAAGGAATGCAAAAATACAAAACCCCAAATATTTTTAATTGCCCCCCCCAAATCTAAATTTCAAATTTTTTTAAAAGGATTTTTTTTACATAACATCCCAAATTTTGAAGCAGTCTTGGTGGGGGTATTAACACATTTATAAAAGTTTTGTTGCCCTTTCTATTTTTTTTTGTCCGGGGCATAATTTTAAAACTACTGGTTAATTCAAAAAACTTCACAAAGTCAAGCCCAAAAAGGGGAAGTGCAGTGCCAGAACCAAACCTTAAGTAATTACAGAGTTATTGCCCCCTTTTTTACTTTTCCCTTTTCCGGGGCTAATTGAAAAATACTGGTGGAATTCAAAATAACTTATACAAAGGTCAAACACATATGGGGGAATCTTTCAAAGAACCCTACTCTATCTAAAATAATTTTCAGAGTTATTGCCCTTTGTTATTTTCCAAATTTCTTTTTTTGTCCCGGACCCTAAAATTGAAAACTTAGGTTTGGGAATTTAATATAATTTTATACAATGATCAAACACATTGATAGATAGTGCAGTGCACGAAAAAAATCCCTCTTCACTAATTATGAGTTATTGGTTTTTTACTTTTCCTTTTCTGGGGCATAACTTGAAATTACTGGGTTGGGAATTTAAAAAACTTTAACAAGGGAAGCCAAAAAAGGGGAAATGCAGTGCACCAGAACCATAACTGTATCTAAAGTAATTACAGAGTTATTGCCCTTTGTTACTTTTCCATTGCTTTTTAGTCCCCTACCGGTTTACCGGAGGGGACTTTAGGTTTACCCTCCGTCCGTCTGTCTGTCTGTCTGTCTGTCTGTCTGTCTGTCAGTCCGTCAGTCCACAAAACTGGATCCCGCGATAACTTGAAAAGTACTGAAAATATTTTTATGAAACTTGATATATGGATAGCTGGCAGTATGGAGATTATGCACGTCTTTTCTTTTCTTCCTATGTTGAAAATTCTGGTTGCTATGGCAACAAATAGGCTTAAAATATGGCAAATTTTACACATATAAACTGGATCCAGTGATAACGCAAAAAGTACTTGTAATATTTTTATGAAACTTGAAAGATGGGTAGATGGCAGTCTGGAGATTATGCAACGGGGCTTTTTCTTTTCTTCCTATGTTGAAATTTTCTGGCTTGCTATGGACCAACAAATAGACTGAAAATATGGCAAATTTTACACATAAACTGGATCCTGTGTTAACGCAAAAAGTAATAGAAATATTTTTATGAAACTTGTTAATAATGGTAGATGGCAGTCTGGAGATTATGCACTTCTTTTCTTTCTTCTTCCTATGTTGAAAATTCTGGTTGCTATGGCAACACATAGACTGAAAATATGGCAAATTTTACACATACACTGAATCCAGTGATAACTCAAAAAGTACTGGAAATATTTTTATACGCAAAAAGTAATAGAAATATTTTTATGAAACTTGTAATATGGGTAGATGGCAGTCTGGAGATTATGCACTTCTTTTTCTTTTCTTCCTATGTTGAAAATTCTGGTTGCTATGGCAACACATAGACTGAAAATATGGCAAATTTTACACATACACTGAATCCAGTGATAACTCAAAAAGTACTGGAAATATTTTTATGAAACTTGACATATGGGTAGATGGCAGTCTTGAGATTATGCATGTCTTATCTGTTCTCCCTATTTTGAAAAAAATATTGGTTGCTTTGGCAAAAAATAGGCTTAAAACATGGCAAATATAACAATATTTGTGATTAGTCAAAAAGAGCTGAATTTTTTTTTATGAAATTGCATCTTTAATTCAAGAGTTATCTCCTTTTTAAGAATTTTGCTTTTAAAAATGTTATATTTTGGTAACAGGGATGTTTCAAATATTAACTTTAGAGTGTCCTTCAGTCCGTCTGTCTGTCTGTTCATAAAAACTGTTTCCTGTGATCACTTTTAAAGAACTTTTCCAACAAATATACTTAAAATATAGAAAAATTGAAACATAAGTGAATGGCTAATGGCCCTTCAGAACCGGTAGGGGACTTATGGATTGCTTGCAATACTATGATAATTGCTTGTTTTTCCTGAGCATAACTTGACACTTATGGTTGGACATCAATACAACTTCATACAATGATCAAGCACATTGAGAGGAAGTGCAGTGCACAAGAACCATAACTCCATCTTGACTAATTACAGAGTTATTGCCCTTTGTTACTTTTCCATTGCTTTTTTTTGTCCTGAGCATAACTTGAAGACTAATGGTTCGAATTCAATACAACTTCATACATTGATCAAGCACATTGCGAGGAAGTGCAGTGCACAAGAACCATAACTCCATCTTTACTTATTACGGAGTTATTGCCCTTTGTTACTTTTCCATTGTTTTTTTCTTGTCCATAAGAGAAAGTGCAGTGCGCAGAAACCATAACTCTTTCTTGACTCATTTAAGAGTTTTTGCCCTTGTTACTTTTTATTGTCCAGTGCATAACTTGAAAATTAATGGTTGGAATTCAAAGAAACTTTATGCAATGGTCAAGGGCAGTGAGATGAAGTGCAGTGCACAAGAACCATAACTCGATTTGGACTAATTACAGATATTGTTCTTTGTTACTTTTTTTGTCCAGTGCATAACTTGAAAACTAGTAGTTGGCATTCAATACAACTTCATACAATGGTCAAGCACAGTGAGAGGAAGTGCATTGTACAATAACCATAACTCCATCTTCAGTTATTGCCCTTTGTTCCTTTTCCTTGTCCAGTGCATAATTAAAAACAAATGTTTAGAATTCAATGCAACTTCATACAATGGTCGAGCGCAGTGAGAGGAAGTGCAGTGCTCAAAAAGCGTAACTCTGTCTGGACTTATTACAGAGTAATTCAATAAAACTTCATCAATGGTCAACCACATTGAAAGGAAATGCAACATACAAGAACCACAACTATCTTTAATTGCCCACAACCATAACTCTATTTCAATTCTTTAGCAAGGTATTCTGTTACGAGTAACTTCCTCATTTCTGAAGCAGTCTTGCGGGGGTATTAATCACATTTAGTGATAGTTATAGCCAATTTACTACAGTTATAACACTGGAAACAGCATTGGTGGAACTATACAAAAACAAATTGGTTTATAATCTCACAACCTTCACCTTTCTGACATTCTGAGACCCAAACAAATTCAGCGCCTTCTGTGCTTTGATTGTATTCACACGTTTAGTTTAATATTTTTATGTATTTAAGAATTACGCAGCAAGTACGATGGAAAATCTCCAAATAAAAAGTCCAAGAAAGTTACTGCAGAAACCAGAATGCGTAGGAAGGAACTTAAGAGACGAAGAGCTGCACAATTCGCAATTGGTATTACATTTATTTTTGCAAAAAACAATATAATTATTTTGAATAATAATTTAAGCTGTACTTTTTCAAAGAAAAAAAAACTTTTGCTACAATAATGTTGTTGTTCAGGTTGCTTTTGCCGATACTGTGAAAAAGTCAAGTGTTGCCCTTTTCCAGCGGTGGCTCTTGTTTAAAGATAAATGTTTTCTGTATTTTTGTTGTGGGCGACATAGTGACAGGTCAGTTGATTTTACTTTTTGCCAGTGCTAAATGCAGAAAATGAAACCCAATCTTACTGTCTCACCAGAATTGGTAGCTTAATTGTAAAAGTTTAAAATTGCTTATTATTTTGGTAAGCAGCTTTGAAGAAGTCTATGATGAATCAGGACACAGATATGGATAGTTTGAGTACACTAAGCCAGACACCAACACATTCTCCACAAATGAAAGATGGAATGCTGTCACTAAGTGCATCATCTGGCATGCTAAAAGATCAAAAGGAATACAGAAAGAAGAGGTTTGAGAATGCATATGATATTAATAACATTGTGATTCCATACAGTATGGCTGCCTCTACAAGAGTGGAAAAACTCCAGTATAAAGAAATTCAGACTCCAAAGTAAGTTTTGCTTAATTAATAGGGTGATTTGATTTTGCATTACCTATTACACATTTACAATTTCTTTAACTCTGAACAGAGAATTCTTTTTAAATGCTGAAAAAATGTTGGTTTGTAATGGTTTGCACTTGGTTATGTGTCATAACGTCATCTATGTGCAATTTTAGGGTATAGATATTATGTATTATGGTTTTTGTATTACTTTGCATTATGAGGTTATACTGTTCAAACTAATCTTTGGATAAAACACAATTTTGCGTGATTTTGGGATGATAATGTTCTGGGAAATATTGTACTAAGAAACTTCTATTAGTATTTTATCTTTCAACAGGGGATATGATATCTATTCATATCATTTGCTACTTAAGCATAAATTATGTCTCCCAAAACTTTTGGGAGACACTGTTTTTGCCTCCGGCAACTGTCGCACTACCGAATAAGGATAGGGGGCTATCTAACTGTCAACAGAACAAAAGATAAGAATAGAGTTCATTCCATAACAATAGAGTAAGGGGCCATTTGCCCTCTATTAACTCATTACGCGATATACATGCCTTTTAACGCCTTTTGCACACACACACACACCCCCTTTTTTTTGGTCTCAAATGGTGAAAAAATGCCTTATTTAGGCCCCCAACACTTGTTTTTTTTTGAGAAATGTTGTTAAAAAAAGTGACCAGTTTTTCGGCGTGGCCCCCCAACCAAAAGATACATCAGGGGGTTGTCAGGAGGGGGATGTGCCCCCTTGTGTTTTGGGGGTTTGAAGGGGGATGGCAGTCCCCCTCATCGCCAACAAAATTTTGGACTTGTGAGAGGCTAAAAATGACCCCAGAAGAAACATAATAAATTTCTTCAATAAAATTTTTTTGGGACTATTAAACCATAATTCCCCTAAATTTAATTTAAAAAAACCAAAAATGTTGGCATTTAATTCTTCTGGGAAGAAAATTTTGCCCGAAATTTTTTGCATCGCATTTTTCCGTGTTTTTGTTTATAGTTTCATAGCAATTTGAACTTGTAACGGGAGACTTTTCAATGAAAACAGCCATTTTTCACAAAATGCTCATGAAGTAATGGGTTAAACAATAAAAAATAACAAAAGAAATGGCCCCTTATTCCATTTCTGCTGGACGTCCTTCTGTCCGTCTGCATTAAGCTTGTCCACCCTTCACAGGTCAAACTCCTGGTGGGATTTCAACCAAACTTTACAGGAGTGATCAGTACCGTTCCTAGTTGTGCACCTCACCGGCTTGTTCCGCTTCGCTGCACAAAATGGCCGCCAGAGCTAAAAATAGAAAAATCTTGTCTGGCCTTCACAGGTCAAACTACTGATGGAATTTCAACCAAACTTTACAGGAGTGATCAGTACCGTCCCTAGTTGTGCACCTCACCGGCTTGTTCCGCTTCGCTGCACAAAATGGCCGCCAGAGCTAAAAATAGAAAAATCTTGTCTGGCCTTCACAGGTCAAACTACTGATGGAATTTCAACCAAACTTTACAGGAGTGATCAGTACCATCCCTAGTTGTGCACATTACCGGCTTGTTCTGCTTTGCTGCACAAAATGGCTGCCAGAGCTAAAAATAGAAAAATCTTGTCTGGCCTTGACAGGTCAAACCACTGGTGGAATTTCAGCCAAACTTTACAGGAGTGATAAGTACCATCCCTAGTTGTGCACATCACCAGCATGTTCCGCTTCCCTGCACAAAACGGCCGCCAGACCTAAAAAATAGAAAGAAAATTCCGCCCTTCACAGGTCAAACTACTGGTGGGATATCAACCAAACTTTACAGGAGTGATCAGAACCATCCCTAGTTGTGCACATCACCAGCAGGTCCCGCATGCTGCACAAAATGGCCGCCAGACCTAAAACTAGAAAATCTTGTCCGGTCTTCACAGGTTAAACTACTGGTGGGATTTCAACCAAACTTTACAGGAATGATCAGTACTATCCATAGTTGTGCACATTTGGTACGTTCTGCTTGGCTGCACAAAATGGCCGCCAGACCTAAAAATTTATAAATTTTGTCCGGCCTTCACAGGTCAAACTACTGGTGGGATTTCAACCAACTTTACAGGAGTGATCAGAACCATCCCTAGTTGTGCACATCACCAGCAGGTTCCGCATGCTGCACAAAATGGCTGCCAGACCTAAAAATAGAAAATCTTGTCTGGCCTTGACAGGTCAAACCACTGGTGGGATTTCAACCAAACTTTACAGGAGTGATAAGTACCATCCCTAGTTGTGCACATCCCGGGCTAGTTGTGCACATCCCGGGCACGTTCTGCTTCGCTGCACAAAATGGCCGACAGAGCTTAAAATAGAGAAAAAAATTCCTACCTTCACAGGTCAAACAACTCGTGAGATTTCAACCAAACTTTACAAGAGTGATCAGAACCATCCAACGCTATGCACGTCATGGGCACATTTTGTTTGGCTGCACAAAATGACAGATAAAAAAGATAGAAAAAAATAGAAAATCTTGTCCGGCCTTCACAGGTCAAACTTATGGTGGGATTTCAACCAAACTTAACAGGGGTGATCAGTACCATCCCTAGCTGTTCACAATACCGGGACGTTCCCCTTTGCTGTACAAAATGGCCGTCAGAGCTATAAATAGAAAAGTCTTTTCCGGCTTTCACAGGTCAAGCTTCTGGTGGGATGTCAATGAAACTTCACATGAGTGACCATCCATAGTTTTGGGAGACATATGTTTTTGTGACAAAAACCCTTCTAGTTTTGAATGGGATAAATATTTATAAGGATTTTTTTATTTCAGATGGAGAGAGCTTGATCAGACAGAGCAACATGTTGATCTGCAGGAAGAAGAAGAGGTAATAATTATACCCCCGAAACAAAGTTTGGGGGGTATATCGAAGTCACCTGGTGGTCGGTTGGTCAGTCGGTCCAGCGGTCTGTTGCATTTTCATTGTCTGGAGCATAACTTGAAGACTAATGGTTGGAATTCAATACAACTTAATACAATGGTCAAGCACATTGAGAGGAAGTGCAGTGCACAAGAACCATAACTCCCTCTTGACTAATTACAAAGTCATTGCCCTTTGTTACTTTCCCTTGTCCGGAGCATAACATGAAAACTACCGGTTGGAATTCAAAACAACATCATACAATGGTTAAGCACAATAAGGGTAAGTGCAGTGCACAAGAACCATAACTCTATCTGTAGTAATTACAGAGTTATTGCCCTTTGTTACTTTTCCATTGCTTTCTTTTGTCCGGAGCATAACTCGAAGACTAATGGTTGGAATTCAATACAAGTTCATACAATAAACAAGCACGTTGTTGAGAGGAAGTGCAGTACACACGAACCATAACTTCATCTTGACTACTTACAGAGTTATCACCCTTTTTAGCTCACCAGAGCCGAAGGCTCAGGGTGAGCTATTAGTATCAAAGGGGGATACTCCGGCGTCCGTTGTCATGCGTCAACAATCGTCTTCTTCTCTGAAACCACTGGGCAGATTTACTTCAAATTTGGTCTGTAGCATCCTTGTGACAGTCACACTTGAATTTGCTCATGTCATTTCAATTGGCCCCTTTTAGGGGTCAACAAAGCTAAAAATAGAAAAAAACCTTTAAACATCTACTACAGAACTAAGTGATGGATTATCACCAAGCTTTGTATGTAGCATTCTTTAGTCTTTTATCAAATTTGCTCATATTAATTTGAAAAGTTTATGGGCCGAAAGGGCCCTCTGGAAATTTGTTCTAGATTGAACACTGGAAATAAATGATGCTCGACGGTGTGGGATTTCTCAATTTGTTCTGTTTCGGTTATAACGAGGAATCATCCGACGATCTCGTTGTATCCGGAGTGCACTGTACCTTTAAACGTCTATTTCTACAGAACTAATTGTTGGATGATCACCAAACTTTGTCTGTAGCATTCTTAGGTACGCTTTTATCAAGTTTGCTCATATTAATTTGATTGGCCCCTTTGAGGGGCCACTAAAGCCAAAAATAGAAAAACCTTTGAACATTTCCTACTGAAATAATTGGTAGATGATCACATTATAAGGTAGTCTTTTATCAAGTTTGCTCATATTAATTTGATTGGTGCAGTCTAAGCTAAAGCTTAAATGCCCCAGGTCATGTCATTTTTATATGCCCGAAAGGGCATATTATGTTATACCCCCTGGCGTCCGTCTGTCTGTCTGTCCGTCCGTCCGTCCGTACGTCCGTCCGTCCGTCCGTTAGCAATTTGGTTTCCGGAGCATAACTTAAGTTCCATTTGGCCCACAATGTTAAAACTTCATAGGATGATTGTCCATATTGGGTAGAAGACCCCTATTGATTTTGGGGTCAAAAGGTCAAAGGTCAAGGTCACTATGACCTTAAAACTGAAAACAGTTTCCGGAGCATAACTTAAGTTCCATTCGACCCACAATGTTCAAACTTCATAGGATGATTGTCCATATTGGGAAGAAGACCCCTATTAGATTTTGGGTCACAAGGTCAAAGGTCAAGGTCACTATGACCTTGATACTGAAAACAGTTTCCGGAGAATAACTTAAGTTCCAATTGGCCACAATGTTCAAACTTCATAGGATGATTGTCCATATTGGGTAGAAGACCCCTATTGATTTTGGGGTCAAAAGGTCAAAGGTCAAGGTCACTATTACCTTAAAACTGAAAACGGTTTCCGGAGCATAACTTAAGTTTCATTCGACCCACAATGTTCAAACTTCATAGGATGATTGTCCATATTGGGAAGAAGACCCCTATTGATTTTGAGGTCAAAGGTCAAGGTCACTATGACCTTGATACTGAAAACAGTTTCCGGAGCATAACTTAAGTTCCAATTGGCCCACAATGTTCAAACTTCATAGGATGATTGTCCATATTGGGTAGAAAACCCCTATTGATTTTGGGGTCAAAAGGTCAAAGGTCAAGGTCACTATTACCTTATAACTGAAAAAACAAGTTTCCAGAGCATAACTTAAGTTCCATTCGACCACAATGTTCAAACTTCATAGGATGATTGTCCATATTGGGAAGAAGACCCCTATTGATTTTGGGGTCACAAGGTCAAAGGTCAAGGTCACTATGACCTTGATACTGAAAAACAGTTTCCGGAGCATAACTTAAGTTCAATTGGCCCACAATGTTCAAACTACATAGGATGATTGTTCATATTGGGTAGAAGACCCCTATTGATTTTGGGGTCAAAAGGTCAAGGTCACTATTACCTTATAACTGAAAACAGTTTCCAGAGCATAACTTAAGTTCCATTCGACCCACAATGTTCAAACTTCATAGGATGATTGTCCATATTGGGTAGAAGACCCCTATTGATTTTGGGGTCACAAGGTCAAAGGTGAAGGTCACTATTACATTGATACTGAAAAATATGTTTCCACGCATAACTTAAGTTCCATATGACCCACAATGTTCAAACTTCATAGGATGATTGTCCATATTGGGTAGAAGACCCCTGTTGATTTTGGGGTCAAAAGGTCAAAGGTGAAGGTCACTATTACCTTGATACTGAAAACAGTTGCCGGAGCATATGTTAAGTTCCATTTGGCCCACAATGTTCAAACTTCATAGGATGATTGTCCATATTGGGTAGAAGACCCCTATTGATTTTGGGGTCAAAAGGTCAACGGTTAAGGTCATCCTTACTAAAAAAAAAATACTTTCGGGCATATAATGCTCCACCTAGCGGTGCTCTTGTTAGCTCACCTGTCACAAAGTGACAGGGTGAGCTTTTGTGATCGCTTTTCGTCCGGCGTCCGGCCGGCCTCCGTCCGTCCGTAAACTTTTGCTTTAAATGACATCTCCTCATAAACCACTGAGCCAATTTCATCCAAACTTCACAGGAATGTTCCTTTGGTGGTCACCTTTAAAAATTGTTCAAAGAATTTAATTCCATGCAGAACTCTGGTTGCCATGGCAACCAAAAGAAAAAACTTTAAATATCTTCTTTTAAAAAACCATAAGAGCTAGAGCTTAGATATTTGGCATGAAACATCTTCTAGTGAGTGTCTACCAAGTTTGTTCAAATAAAAGCCCTGGGGTCAAAATTGGCCCCGCCCGGGGGGGTCATTGATTTTCCCTATATGCATATAGTAAAAACTTAAAAAATCTTCTTTTAAAGAACCCAAAGAGCTAGAGCTAAGATATTTAGCATGAAACATGTTCTAATGATGGTGTCTACCAAGTTTGTTCAAATAAAAGCCCTGGGGTCAAAATTGGCCCCGCCCCTGGGGGTCATTGATTTTCCCTATATGCATATAGTAAAAACTTAAAAAATCCTCTTTCAAAGAACCCAAAAAGAGCTAGAGCTTAGATATTTGGCATGAAACATCTTCTAGTGAATGTCTACCAAGTTTGTTCAAATAAAAGCCCTGGGGTCAAAATTGGCCCTCCCCAGGGGGTCATTGATTTTCCCTATATGCATATAGTAAAAACTTAAAAATCTTCTTTTAAAGAACCCAAAGAGCTAGAGCTAAGATATAAAGCATGAAACATCTTCTAGTGAGTGTCTACCAAGTTTGTTCAAATTAAAGCCCTGGGGTCAAAATTTGCCCCGCCCCGGGGGTCATTGATTTTCCCTATATGCGTAAAGTAAAAACTTAAAAAATCTTCTTTTAAAGAACCATAAGAGCTAGAGCTTAGATATTTGACATGAAACATCTTCTAGTGAATGTCTACCAAGTTTGTTCAAATAAAAGCCCTGGGGTCAAAATTGACCCGGCCCCAGGGGGTCATAGATTTTCCCTATATGCATATAGTAAAAACTTAAAAAATCTTCTTTTAAAGAACCCAAAGAGCTAGAGCTAAGATATTTAGCATGAAACATCTTCTAATGAGTGTCTACCAAGTTTGTTCAAATAAAAGCCCTGGGGTCAAAATTGGCCCCGCCCCAGGGGGTCATTGATTTTCCCTATGTGCATATAGTAAAAACTTAAAAAATCTTCTTTTAAAGAGCTAGAGCTAAGATATTTAGCATGAAACATGTTCTAATGGGTGTCTACCAAGTATGTTCAAATAAAAGCCCTGGGGTCAAAACTGGCCCCGCCCAGGGGGGGGGGGTCATTGATTTTCCTTATATGTGTATAGCAAAAACTTAAAAATCTTCTTTGGAAAAACCCAAATAGCTAGAGTTTAGATATTAAGCATGAAACATCTTTAAGTAAATATTTACAAAGTTTGTTAAAATAAACGCCCGTGGGTCAAAACTGGCCCTGCCCCAGGGGTGTCATTGTTTTTAACTATATGTGTATAGTAAAAACTTTAAAAATCTTCTTTTAAAAAAGCCAATGAGCTAGAACTTAGATGTTTAGCATGAAACATCTTCTTATGGGTGTCTACCAAGTCTGTTCAAATAAACAAATAAAAGCCCTTGGGTAAAAATTGGCCCGGGGGTGGGGGGCCTATATACAGGTGAGCGACCTCAGGGCCATCATGGCCCTCTTGTTTCAAATTATTGCTTAAACATATTCTATGCTCAAATTAAAATATCAGAAAATATTAACAATGGATAATTTCCAACTTTGAAAACTTCATACAATGGTCAAGCACATTTAGAGGAAGTGCAGTGTACAATAACTTCTTCATCTTCATTATTTGTAGACTTATTGCCTTTTGTTCCTTTTCCTTGTCTGATGCATATCTTAAAAACTAATGTTTAGAATTTAATGCAACTTCATACAATGGTCAAGCGCAATGACTTTTTCTGGACTTTTTACAGAGTTATTCAATAAAACATCATCAATGGTCAACCATAGTGAAAGGAAATGCAACATACAAGAACCACAACTATCTTTAATTGCCCACAACCATAACTCTATTTCATTTCTTTTACAAG